AAAAATAGATTATGATGAGCAAAAATTTGTTAGCTTTGGGGCTAGTGCTCGATTCAATAGTCTACTTGAGCATAAAAAAGTAATTCCGGATCGTGGTTTTAAAAATTCGACAGGAGAAATCGAGCAACTGATCAATGCTCGACATTGGGAAATTTTCTGTTATTTTACTCTCGATGCAATTATTGGTGTAGTGATGGCATTCTATGCCAGTTTTACTGAAGCTTCTGATGATTTTGTTTTTGTTCGTGGAAAAATGGTGGATTTTTCTGCTACTGATGAGGCCCAGGTTATTTCTTTTCTTACTGATGGAAGAGGGACCTGGAAAGTAAAAAGTGGTGTTAAAGTCAATTTTCCTCTTTCTATGCTTAATGTAGAATATAAAGTCTGACACTACTTTATTTATGGAAGAATGATTCCTACAAATCATCATAGTGAGGTGACCAAGGATAGAACCATCCTGAACTTCTGTATTCAACAGGTGATGAGGATAAATGTAGGTTCTATTATTTATATGAACATTAAATCTATTGCTTTGGGAGAGACCACTAGTGGTTTTGCACACCCTGCACTTATTTTTACACTCTGTGAACAGGCAGGAGTTGATTTTAGACCTGTAGAAGAGAGCATTGAGCCTCTAAGACCTATTGGGTCTGCCAATATAAAGACATATGAATCTCATGTTGATTAGAGATCTGGGAGTAAGATCAGAGATATCCTTCTACTTCGAGGACCCCTACTAACAGAGAACTTTTAGACCAGATGATGATCTAGCAGGGAGATATCTTAAGAATGGATCATAGATTGCAAAACATGGATGCCAGAAATTCTCACACTGATGATTTGATAAGGAAAAATTTTGAATATTTTATTTCTTATGATGATGCATTGGTGAGATACTTAAAGGGTGATCATTCAGTTCAGTTTCCTACTCACCCTATTTTTACTCCATATCAGCGACAGAATTTGGATGTAGAAGAAGAAGATGGTGATGATGATTGGTGATTTTTCTTTTAGTTTATGTTTGATTATACTTTGTTATTTTATTATTTGTTTTGTTATATTGTTGAGACTGTTTGTTAGACTGTTAGACTTGGTTTCATAGTTATGTTGCGTTGTGAACTGTAGTTTGTAAAACTATTTTCATTTCTGAAATTCAGTTTATTTATGTTATTAGTTTTTCTATTTCATTGAATGTATTGTAATTAACCCTTTCTCATCAGATTTTATAAGTATTATGTGTAATTTAATATTTTAAGTCTTGTAGCTTTTTTATATTAGCACCTACAGTATTTCAGAATTAAAGTTTCAAAAACAGAACCTTCAACAGGTATGTCTTTTCCTTATGTATTTATTGTTTCTTTCACCCTTTATTTTTCAATTCTTCATGCTAAAACTTTTAAAAATGTAAGTTTGGTGGGAAAAGAAAAATTCGAGGAAGATAAAAATTCCTTTTTAGAGAAAGAAACTTAATTTTATTTCTCCTCACTTAGCTATATTTTCAAAAATTTTAAATTTAACATGACCTTTGGTATGAGGAGATAACTTTAGATAACTATATTTATGTTTCTTATTATATACTAAACTTAAGTAAAAATTTTCAATAATAAAGGTTAATTTTAGAGAGTAAGATATTTGGTATAAGAAAATAAGACTATGTTTTTCTATTTTAAGTAAAGAAATTTGTATTTTTGAAGTTTTAAAAATCTTAAAGATTCATGTAAGAAGAAAAGAATTAAACTTTAAGAAATCTTTAAGCTAATATAATATGGTTAAGTGAAGAAATTTGGAAAGTCTTTGACTTTAAGAAGAGGATAGTGAAGTTCAAAATCATTAAAGGCTATCCAGATATACTAATCCTCACATATAAAGAAAAATAGAGAAAAAATAAAAGAAAAGAAAAGAAAATTGATTAAAAAGGATCCTGAAAAGAAGAGAAAATAAAAAGATAATGTTGGGAGAAGCTTGAGGAGATGCCTAATTAAAAATTAGCTTCACTTGAATCAACTTAAAAAAGAAAGCTTAGCTACATTTTCTAAACTTATATTTGAGTATTAACTTATTTAATAGTAATGTTTCATGAAGTTCTTTTCATATGAATACTCTAAGTGACTTTAATATGACAATTTGTAATTTTTCTTGAAAAGAATAAGGAATTAGAAATCTTAGACTTGATTGGTGAACATTCTTATATCTTTAGTATTAGCTGGAGTTGTTTTGAATTTTTCTTAAGTTATATTGTCATATTTAGTAGACTAGAATATGGAAATCTAGAAGTTAAATTCTTTACCATAAGTCATACTTTTATATAGTAGAGGAGTAACTTTAGGACAGTAACATGTAAATTTTGGGGTTTTGATACACCAAAAATATATCCATTTTTAGACCCATATTTTATACTCATTTTTTCTTATATTGCACTTTAATAGAAGATATTTTTATGTTTTCTTGCAGTTTGTTGATTTTTAAGACTTGAAGTAAAAAAGGAAGCAAAAAGGATGGAATTTGGAGTCAAAATGACATTTTTGGAGAAATACTCAGCGCCGACGGTGCCAAGAGTAGTGCCAATGGCGCATACTTATAGAAGAGATGGTGGATTTTACTCAGCGCCGACGGTGTCAGAAGTAGCGCCGACAGCGCCATTTGACAGAGATCAGTGAATTAATTATAGACCACTGGCACCGACAGTGTTAGAATGGGTGTCGACGGCGCCAATGTTGATTCAGACCTTGTTTCTAGAAGATTCGATGAATTTGGATGCATTTTGAAGAGTTTATTGATGCACCTATTGGAGAACCGACTTTAGGCTCTATATTGGGCCAAAATTGATCAGAAAAGGGACTCCTCCTCTTTCCTCTTTTTTCTAAATCGCCACACCTAGCCTCCATACACTTTTTCCATCTTCATTCTACCACCATTGAGGAGTCTATTAGTTATTTTTCTTTAAGAGTTTAGAG